CAATATTCATAATTTTCTTGGTGATCTCCCAGAAAAACCTTCTTAATTTAATCTCTAATGGGATTATCAGCCTCATTAAATTGTAAATCTGCCACAGTCCAGCTGTTGTGGGAACCTGAACTTTCAGAATGTTATCAATTCGCTGCTCTGACCTCTCTACCTGAAGTCCCTCCAGAAACTTTTAACGCTTTCAGCTTCAAAAGCCTGCAGGGTCCTTCCCCACTTCCCTCACCTACAACTTCTTCCCACAAAAATCCCTGCCTTTTTTCAAACCAAAAAGCCACAGAGCTGCTTCTTTCCTGGAGTTAAGCCAATATACCCAACTGCAGACCTAACCCCGTGGCTCCAGCCTAATTTCTATATGGGCAGCCAAGCACATTTTGCAGAAGCCCCTACAAGGATGAACTGTGAAGAGCAAGAACGCCTCTCGTCGCTACCCTGCCTTATGAGCTGAGAACCGAGCTGACCCACTGCGAGTTTCCTACCTCTGGAGAAGTCCAACAACTCCCAGCCTCTGTTCATCTATCGAGGGCAACACAAGCCCGGGCAGGTATTACAGCTGAGTGCCTTCACAGCACTATGTAAATACAGATGCAAATAAGCTTTGGCCCTCAGACTTCTGGCAAGTTACACACACAGTCCCTGGTGTTATGAGGTGTCTCCTGCCGCACACGACGGGTGCAAGCCTTCAGACCCTTCCCAAACTCAGATTCTCGCTGAAGGCAGGGACAAATTTGTCTCCGTAAAGGACACAGAATCAGGACAAAACCAGTGTACCTGCTTTTCTAAGTGACCATTGCACAAGGCTTGCGGACGGAAGGCTGCTAAGTCCCGGAGGGCACTGACAGGTGACTAGATTCCAAAAAGAGAGGAAACTCCACCTTAGGAAACCATTACTGCTTGTTGCAGACAAGGCTGTTGAGAATACAGGTAATGAAGGATTAGTACTGGAGAGACAGGAAAGAAGTAATCTTAATTTTTGAATTCTTTTTGTGCCCGAGCAAGGCACAAAGGTAGTGGACGCATACAAATGGTTACTTTCTCACACACCTGCAAAACCTGTTAGGAGAAACAAACAAAAAATTTGGAGTACAGCAGAGTAAGGATATACTCTGAAGGAGCTGGGATTTTTTCCCTTGTACACAGTAGTCTAACAAAATAAAAGACTGCTGCTTTCATCCAACATCCTTACACCAATAATATGCAAAATCCAAGTGTCCTTCTGAACCTAGTTTCTTTTTTCTTTCCTATGTAGCTACAAAACAAAGTGGTTTGTGCCTGTAACAACCATTTATAACGTCTTTAAAAATACATTTTAATGCTTTTGGCTTTTCATCATTATTTTGAGCAGCTTAAGTCAACTGGGAACAAGATTCGTGGTTCTCATGTTCTCGTGTTGTAAGAACACAACAAATCAAGTTCTCATAGCAGCAGTCTGCCCTACCAAAAGGGGTAGCCTTAATATAAAGGAGAAGAGAAACATTCCATATCCATAATTAGATAAATAATACTTCAGGCAAGATATGGCACCTTTAAAAGTGCCTTTTCAGTCTTGGATTTTTCTCTGCTTGTTACTACAGAAACCATCTAGCAACCAGAATCTAAGACAGACTCCACCCAAAACAGAGAAAAACAATATAGACAGAGTAGGCTTTTCCTCCTCTTTTTTTTTCCCCCCCTTCCCCCCCTCCCCCTTTTTATTTTTTTGAAAGGGTGGGTGAGTGCTAAGGAAAAGTATCTTACTGTGCAAAGGATAGGAGCATTTTGCATGCAGTTGAAACAGTAAAGCTCTGATTACAGATGGCAGAAATGAAAGCAGGGAATGAGTAATGAGCAATGAGAAATGCGTAATGCGGGATGAGGATATAATTTCCACACATCGGCTAAAGAAAGGTTTACACTCTTAAGCAATAAAAACAAACCATTAAGCCAGACCTGCACTGTCAGGAAGTATAAAACAGTTCTTGAAACTCTGCAGTTACTACACAAAAGCTTTTCATAAACTTTTGTTTCCTGATCTTCATAAAACATTAACATCAAGCTGCCATATGGCAATTAGCCGCCTCCTGAAATCAATAAAAAACCCCCAAAAATCAACAATTTAGGAATAGCTGTACAATAAAATAGTTCAATAATTATCCTCTTCTAATAGTGTAGCAAAGTGGGTCTAATATAAATGCAGTCCAGATGAGCTCCTCCTTCAAAGCTGAGAGTACAATAAATCATGTTCCTCTCCAAGCCTCATCAGTACTGATTGCACAAGTGAGACCTCTAACTGCCTAGCAGCGGGGAAAGCAGGTGACAGTCTGCGGACACCCAAACCCAATTATCGTATGAGCAGGAAAGGTCTCAATGCCTGATTATGATGAGCCCAGGTGAGCAGAGCAGAGCAGATCCTGCTCGGTGAAAATGGCCAATGCTCTCGGGAGAGCTTACCTCAACTGAAGATCTTCCCACGTCATTTTTACATGCTGCTGACCACAGAAGTCCAACTGAATTTTGCGCAAAAATTATCAAGCCACTCGACAAAGCTGTTACTGAGTCTCAAAAGGACAAGGAGAGATGCTGATCACATTTGTGTTTAGAGAGATGCTTATCTGAAATGCACAAAGGGTGACATTATCTATCACAATCTCTGCCTATATAGATTATATAAGTGCCTAGAAGCAATATGTTTAGGGGAAACAGGCTATAGGGTAACAAAGGCAGTCTTGCCTTCCAGATCTTCTGCTTTTTCTCCTCTTATGAGGGGAAAAAAAAGGCTCATTTCTTCTTGTAGAGCACTATAACGCTAATAAGTACTAAAGAACTGAAATAAGTATTGGAGAACTGTGGTAACAGCATACCTTTAGTATTTAGGATTATTTAGCAGTCATTACCAGACTTAGAAGATGTCAGAAAGCCCAAATCTTTCAGAAGGACTGTCTGATCATCAACCTTATTTAGCAGAGTTCAGGAACCCAACTGATCTCTAGGAGAATTTTCTACTAATGTATGAGAGTCTGTTTTGTTTCTTTTTTTTTTTTTTTTTTTTTTTTTTTTTTTTTTTAAATCCTAAACAAACTGTTCAGTGCAGCACTCTCGCATCTCCAATCTAGAGGGAGAGGTTAAGGGTTAAGGATTTAAAGATACGTTACAAAACCAATTCTGCAGAAACTTATCTATGTGCTGAGCTTGACACACACATATTTCCTCCTCAAAATCAGTATGGAGCTGATGATTCTGTGACCAAGACTAAGCAGGTATAGAAATGCTTACAAGAGTGGGTCTTAATAGGTGTACAATTATACATTGGTCTCACAGTGTATTTTACTAAGGATGCAATTCTTTGTCAAGCAACAGGAGGTTTGCCTTTACAAGGAATGCGGCATCACGCCATGAGCCAGCTACTGCTCATGCATAGACAAGCGCCGTAGCCAATTTTTTTGAAACAAGATTAACATCGACGTGTTCTCATGCCTTAGAGGAGAAGTGAAGCAGTCACCACTCCATAAAAAGCCTCCCTCAATCTAGTTACACACAAAGGGCTAGGGGCTGTAAACCTTAAGCCCTGCAACACTGGAGTTTAGGATCTGGTTAGAAGTGCCATGGGGTCTTTACCGATTTCAGCAGGTTTGGGATCATACCTTTCCTGCGCACAGAAATGGTGCAATCTTCAATTTTTTCAGCACTTTATGTCCAGCTTTTGCAAGCTCAGGTTATAGAGTACGCTAGCGCTGCTGTGACTTGACTAGCACAACTACGCATCACAAACAATCAATGAATTCTTCAAGAACCTTCGCTGTGGTATATTGTGCGACCGACAACCTTCCCAAAGCAACAGCCATAAACTCATCGCCGGTAAAGCTGGCAACAAGCAAAAGGCGAACTAAACTTCCGCACATATGACGGGTCCCCCCTAAAAACATTAGCCAACCAAACAGCGCTGGTCTTTCAAAAAAACAAATAGAGGTTGTCCACCCAGTAAACTCGTAGGCTACTACGTCGTATCAGCATGACCAACGAAATCAGCTACCTCTCAAAAATAAGCAAAGCTAAACTGCGGAGTGGTGGATTGTTCTCTACTAGCTATTAAAAACACTGCTGGTACAAAGAAACATGTAAGTTTTTATCTCACCACAGAAGCTTACACCTAGCTCAAGATATTTTTAAGCTCACGAGAAAAACAGAAGCCGCCAACGGGAAAGTAGTTTTCCTCTCCTATCCTCTGTACCCATTGCTTTTTCTGATGATTAGCAGTAGAGGACTGTTCTATAAGAAGATCTGTAAGACACCATCAGGTTAGCCCTTCTGATCAACAAACCTATTTCGTACCTTTGCTGTAACCCAGATGATTCTGGTAAAAAAGGAGGAGGTTGGGGAGGGCCATGAGAAAGAAGAGGTTTCCGTTCGTAAAAAGTTAGGCTAACAGGAGGCCCAAATCAGAGATTCACAGAGTTGACTTCGAGGGGTCTCTAATGGGCCAACCGCACACATGGCTTTAGGAAGCGCTGCCTTGGTTCGCCAAATCCAGAAATGGATCCACCACGGAGCACAAGAGGGTTTGACATCTCTGGAGGTATCAGCACAGTCATTATATGTCCACTAAAGACACTGGAGAGCTCCTGAGATAGGCAGGAACTCGCCACTAGCAGACTAGCACAATGTCATTCCGTTCCCGGCTTCAGGGCACTTCGCAGTGGATCACCAAGAAGCTGATTTAAGCTACTTTCCCGCTCTACTATTTCAGCACAACTTTCACGCAACAAGCAACCCAGCCTCTGCACGCTCGTCCCGCGTTGTACCGCTAGTAACCCGACTGCCACACTAGTCTTTTAACGCACAACAGGCACAACTAAGTATTAGCTTTAATGCTGTGTTTGCCAATTACAAACCATGCTTTTGCCCCTTACATGAAGGATTCAAAAAGTAAGAAGATGTAAGCGCAAGTTATCCTTGTGATGACTGCACAAGTGAACCATTTTTTCTTACAGACTGGACTTTTCAGAAAGAAATATCAGAGTTTGGTGATTTATTATCTGAAATAGATTTAAACATTTGGGGGGGGGGGGGGGCTTTTATTCAAACACAAAACCCTGAAAAGGAAGAGAAGCTAATCTGCAAAACCGCAAAACCATCAGCTGAGGTTAGATAGGAGGCTGCGTATGACAACAGCTTGCTGTATGTAGGGCAAAAATTGAAGATTAATTTCACTAGAACACTCCACAGAAGTGAGCTCTCATCTGAGGTGAGGAAGTAAGCAACGCTTTTCCAACTGTTAAAGACAAGGGCCGGTACAAATGAGATAATTATTCCTCTTTAGCGTACATAATCACAAAAAAAAAAAAAAAAAAAGGATGACATTTTAGTTTTTATTATTTTATATTTGGCCAGGACTTTTAAAGGAAGGACTTTTAAAGGAAACATCAAACATTCACTTTTCTGTAGGTCTAGAAAGGATTCAGTCTTTCCCCCACCCCCGCCTCCCGCAGGATTTCTATTGGCCCTTCTTATATTCACACTGCAAATTAGTTGGGAATAGCAGTATTTATACTAGATCAGCAACGTCTGGTTCTTATCCAAATGTTCCACCTAAAGAGGATGCCAGTTCTCATGGATTGGACAGCCCACCCTGCAGCATTCCTGAGAATTGTACAATATAATAATCTTGAAAGTCAGCAGAGTGGATTATCCACTTTTTTCTGGACTTGAACTTGTGACCTTAACAGTAGCACAGCAGAAAGCAAATGTGCTATGCACTTTGCCATAGTAACCTTCCATGTATTCTTTTCAACTTAAATACACACAATTGAAACAGCTACAATTTTGGAAAATTATGTACAAACCCTATATTTTTTTCTTTTTGATTACATATAAATACAAATTAGCTATTCTTCTAAAAAGTGGTTATAATAGTAAATAAATACAAAATAAGAATCTGACCATTATACTTCATGTGCTGGGGGTTAAACCCATATAAAATGTACAACTAAAATACATTTAAAATCTTTAAAGGAATATTTCTCTGATTAAAATATTTGTTTTCCCAACTTTTTCGTAGACATAAATATATTTTCAAAATAGTTGTGTTTTTTTTTCTTTCCATTTCATTACATAAATAAAGTCTTCATTGGGAAATATTAAAGTGTCAGCTTTTTTTTCTTTTTTTTTTTCTTTTTTTTTTTTTTGTATTTGTCTAATATATTTGCTGTGTTAGCGGCACCCACAACCCTCCACAACCATATCTTGATAGTTCTTTAATACAACTTTTTCATTCTCATCAAGGTAGAGCATGGAAATAGCACTCAGTTCTGTCGGCACACAGCAAGCCTTGGGGATTTTGGAATTCACTGAATTGACCAAAGTCTGAACAATGGCATGGTTTGTTGAGTTTAGGTGATCTGCCAGTGGAAAAGGACATTCCCCATGGCAGTAAAAGGCACTATACCCCGGTGGGGCAACAATCCAGTCATTCCACCCCACATCATTGAAGTCCACATATAACGGATGCCTTTTGCAACTGTATTTGTGGCGTTTACGCTGTTTGTGTTTCGCTTGACGCTTTTCTCTTTTATGAAGCGGGTGTCCCTTGCCATCATGCCCAAACGTTACTAATAATGGCCTGAGCTGAGACCAGCTATCTTCGTCCTGATGTAAAGACCTGCTAATCCTAACGTGCCTCTTGGAGGCACTGTTCTCTTTGTCCAAGTGAACCACCTCTACCACAAACCCATGATTAGGTTGTCCATGTGCAATCCACCTCAAAACAGCTGGTGTTACATCAAAACTTTCCCATTTACTTGCATTATGATGCACCAACCTGGTGTCCAAAAGTCTTGTGACAGGGTCCTTAGAGGTGGCTGTGGCTGGCTTTATAATTTCATAAATATTAATACGGTGATGGTAGCTGCTGTTGTTCTCAAAGCCTCCGTGCACCTGTTTCCGAAAAATCTGGAGTTCAGCTGAGGTGACAGACTCCTCATTAGGGATGGAAGTTAAATTAAAGAAGAAACGCCGTGCTGTTTTCCCACTTGTTTCTGGCAGTTCTTCCAAAACTTCTGATTTGATTAAACAGGGAAAATAAAATAAAATAAAAAAAAGAAAGAAAGAAAGAAAGAAAGAAAGAAAAAAAAAATCAGCAACTGAGACAAGCAACCAAACTCCTCACATAGTCTGCTGCTGGCAACTTTCAAATGACAGTTAATGCATGCGACCTACGAGATCTGAAAGACTTTCAGGCAGAAAATACCATCTCCCTCGTCTTTCTGTTTATTTATGCAAGCATCTATAGCATGAAGTTAAGAATGCTTCATTCATTGTTACGCATTTTGATTGAATACTGGTGCCCTTTGCCTTCCAGGTGGCTATAAGAAGTGGCAAGAAACACGCAGCATTACTTTGGAATTCCAGGACACCAGTGAGAAAACTCGAGCGCTATAGTTAGTGGGGGTCTGATGAGAATCATTAAAACCGAGGACTCAGGGTAACTATTGCGCTTCTGCTTTTTTCAAGAATATGGCTCTAACGTCAATCCTTAAACTCCATTCTGAAAAAAATACCACTCCGCAATTTAGGTGACTTACAAATCTTAACGTATGGATTTTTGTGTCTTAATTACAGACGGTGAACACAACATCTGTAACGGCACTTTACGAAGCACGCCCTAGTATTTACCCAAAAGGGCCATAAGGAATGGCAGGAAGGTTCGACTGCTAAAAAGGGGTGGATGGTGAAGGGGTAATGAAACAAAGTGGCTTCCGAACAACAGGTTTTCAAAACCACACACACCCCCAACCAAAATATGTAAAAAGTCACTAAACCCCATGCCATTCTCACCTTTGAGTCAACAAATAATTGAATGGAGCTTCAGAGTGAAATATATCTAGGGTTACTAAGAAGCACGTTGTTGCTACAGACATCGAAGAATTTAAAAGTATTTGCCAAAACAAATCTCTCTCAAATCATGGGTTTTAATTTTGGTACTAAGCATCTTGGAGAAAGATTCACTTTCTAAGGGGAGACCATAACTGCTGTTAGCAGTTCTTAGTCATGTAAGCATTCTCTGTCGATTCCCATAGGACTGCATGAGGTAAGGCTCAGCTTTAGGGTGTCTCAGGACCAGACCAATATTTGTAAATGTGCAGATGTTTTGAGCAGTCGCAAGTCAAACTTCTGCTTTCACGATGCCACTAATAGAGTGAGAACTCGGTGAAAAAATGGAGTCACATTGACTTTCTTCTAAATTTTGTGAAAATTATATAGAATTATTACATTCTGTAGAATAGCTTGTATATCAAAAACAGTCTTTGCCCTAACAGTATGACTACTTGAAACTGCAGATTTTTTACATTTGCCTAAAAATTACAAACTTTGCCCTTTCGGCTCCCCTCTTGCTCAGCTCCTTGCCTACCACGCGCAGGTTTAACGTGAATGACCCACGCACTGGCTGTTCCCCATTCACTGCTAGGTGTTTACTTTCCACGTAGGGAAACGCAGACGATGAGAGGTTACAATTCATCATTCGTCTCCTCTCTCGCGATAAGGCTTTCCACTAAACAGCGCATCCGCTTCTCCGAGGCCACCCCCTTTATCCATCAGAAACATTAAACGCTAACGGATGTCTTTTCTCAACGCAGTTTCGCATCAAAAGCACGGGAAAGCTGCATTTTCATTACTTCTACAGCGGGGCCGCCGCACGCCACCACCGGGGACTCGCAGCCAGGAACGATTACAACCTGGGGAAACGTTTCCCAAAGAGCACGCGAGCGACACGTGCGCCGCCGGCTCCACGGGCCTACCCGTGCCACGGCTAACGCCGCGGCGGCTATTTCGGCTACGTAAGGCGGGAAACGCGCCCAGTTGCTCAGCAAGGGCCTGTCCCAGAGGGTCTGCTGCCTGG